CTCCTCGTAGTTGCCCCTTCCCCGTCTCTTGCTGTTTTTTTCTCAAGTCTGTCTTGGACGCTGCTCGTCTTTCTCTTCTCTTACTTCTTCAGTGAGCATCTGGTTTCATGGCTTTGAATACCCTGTGTGTGCTCAGGACTCCCAAATTCACATATCTAACTGGGGACTTTTCCCTGGACTATGGGTTAGTTGTCCAGTGTCTGGCCACTGGATGCCTCGTAAGCACGCCAGGCCTGGCGCCTCAGCCCCACTCCCTGCCCGCAGTGTGCTTCTCCGTCTTCCCTCTCCGATCCTGGCAAGTCCGTTTCATCGGTTGTTCAGAACAACATTAGAATTAGCCTTGGGTCTTCATGACCCACACTTAATCCGTCAGGAAGTCATGCTGGCCCTGTCTGGACACGCTGTCCAGTGTTGGGACACTGCTCAGCTCACTGCCACCTCTGGTTGTTGGCAGTTGCCTCCTAGCTGGCCTTCCTTCCTGCTCCCTGTTCTCACTCCCCGCTCAGTCTGTCCTCTGCATGGAGCCAGAATGCTCCCCTGGAAGCCCAGGTTAGGTCACTATTCTTCTCATCGTCCCATCCCTTTCCACTTCCTCCAGATGGCCTGTGAGTAATTGTCCTTCCCTTGTCCTGACTGGTGCTTCTGCTCCCCAGCCCTGGAGGGTCTGCCCCCGTTAACCTCTGGTGCTACCCTGCGGCTCCTGCGACCGCTGCTCCTCACTGCCCACGCGGTGCCACCTTTGTGTTTGCTGTTCCCTCTGCTTTCATGAGCTTCCCCTAAATATCTGCATGCTCTTGGCTCAGCTTATTCCTTAACCCCTGTTTTTTCCTTATGAACTGGAAGTTAGATCTGAAATTTGGTTAGATTCAGGTTCAACAACTTTGGCTAGAGTGTTTCCGGAAGATTCTCTGAATTTCATGTTGTACAGCATCAGGAGATGAATCAGCTTCAGGGTGTCAACGTGGTGACTGCTGATCGTTCACTGTAAAAGACTTCCTTTGCAGTTAGCAAGTGACCTGTGGGCCCTTCTTTGAAATGTTCTATTTGTTTTACATATTTGTGACATCCTCTGTCCCCCATCAGAACTTGGAGGAGCTGGGATTGGAACCCAGCCTGACAGTAGCCTGTATTTCAGCCTTGCTAGGCCCCTGTGTCTCCCTGAAGTCCTGCCTGTAGGCTGATCAGAAGTAGCAGCTTTGTCTTATCCACCTGCACCGGGCTGTGGACAGGCCTGGCAGCGCTCTGCCACCGTCCTGCGCCCAGTTCTGTCCCCTCTTTATTTGCTGTTCAGTACTTGGATTCACAATAGCTGCAGGGGATGTTTGTCCTCCCACCTCCAAGCCCCACCTCTGAGGTCTGGCATCACAGACTGGAGGCAGAGTTCTTGGTGGGGTGTGGGGTGGGCCTCTGCCCTGAGCCAGATCAAGTCCCCCCAGGCCCAGACAGACATTCGTTCCCTCACTGCCAACCACAGTGAACGGCTCTTCCTCAGAGACCCGTGGACACACCCACAGTGCCCCCTCACCTTTGGAACGGGCATGCCCCATGCCTCTGCCCAGAAAGGCCCCGCTCAGTACTCCTGTCACCCCGGACCTTGAAGACTTCCCTCAGAATGACGATGAAAAGGAGCGGCTGCAGCGGAGGCGCTCCCGGGTCCTGGACCTGCAGTTCAGTGCCGACTCGCCTCACCTGTTGGCCTCCCCCATCAACAGGTGAGCAGTGCACATCTGAGCGGGCTCTCCTGGGTGGCCCTCGGCTTGTGGGTCCCAGCGTCTCATCACTTATGGGTTCTGGGTTGTGGGAACTCATGGTGTCATGAGTCCTTGCCAGAGTGTCTGGTTGTTTTCCCTTTAGGAGTGTTGATGCTTCCACTACAGTACCGAAATTCACAAACACACAGATCACAGAACATTACTCCACTTGTATCAAACTATCCACTGAGAACGTGAGTATTTTCTGGCTTATCAATGAACATTTTGCATTTTTTGTTTTTTGTACTGGGGATTGAACTCAGGAGCATCAACCCATAAGCCACATCCCCAGCCCTATTTTATATTTTATTTAGAAATAGGGTCTCACTGAGTTGCTTAGCACCTCACTTTTACTGAGGCTGGCTTTGAACTTGGCAATCCTCCCACCTCAGCCTCTCAAGCCACTAGGATTATAGGTGTGCCCCATTACGCTGGCAAGATTTTACAGTTTGATCACAGCACTCTAGCTCTCTTGATTGCATGGAGAATGCATGATAATTTTTTTTAAAATATTTTTTAGTTGTAGTTGGACACAATACCTTTATTTTACTTATTTACTTTTTATGTGGTAATGAGGATTGCACCCTGTGCCCCGCACGTACTAGGTGAATGCTCTGCCCCTGAGCCACAGCACCAGCCCGTGATAATTCTTTAATTCTCCAGTACTTTCCTAGTGCAGGCGTTTCTTGCTGTAGTTTTACTGTCTCCTGTGGGCCTTGGTGCTCTCTGGCAAGTGGCCTGCTGCTGCAGTTCCTCTGGAGAGGCAGCTTGGCCTAAGGGTGAACGGGGAGCCCCCAGAGCTAACAGTGTGTCCTGGGACCCCACCACCCACTGTTCAGGGGGAATGAGGATGGCACCTGCCTCAGCAGAGTCCATCTGAGCATGACCTTGCCCCTTGTGTATAGGAGGCCTCAGGACGCATGCCCTCTCACTCTTCAGGCCCCAGAGGAGGAGGGTGTGTGTGGGCTTGGCTGTGTCATCACGTGTTTGTATTGTTGAGATCCGTGGCAAGATGTGGGTTTTCCTGTATGGAAACTTAGCTTCCTATGTTCAGAGTAGGATTATTTGTATAAGCTAGTCTATGAATAACAAATCTTCCTACAATTTTCTCTTTTCAGAAAATCACTACCAAGAATGCTTTTGGCTTGCACTTGATTGATTTTATGTCAGAAATCCTTAAACAGAAGGACACGGAACCAACCAACTTTAAAGTAAGAAGGACATGTGCTTTTTCTCCTGTCTAGGTTAATGGTGGTTTTTTGTTTTTGTTTTTGTTTTTAGCACCAGAGTTTGAACTCAGGGGCACTCAACCACTGAGCCACATCCCCAGCCCATTTTTATATTTAATTTAGAGACAAGATCTCCCTGAGTTGCTTAGTGCCTCACTAAGTTGCTAAGGCTGGCTTTGAACTTGCTGTCCTCTGCCTCAGCCTCCTGAGCTTCTGGGATTACAGGTGTGCGCCACCACGCCTGTGGTGGTCATTTCTTTTTTTTTTTTTTTAAAGAGAGTGAGAGAGGAGAGAGAGAAAGAATTTTTAATATTTATTTTTTAGTTGGTGGACACAACATCTTTGTTGGTATGTGGTGCTGAGGATCGAACCCGGGCCGCACACATGCCAGGCGAGCGCGCTACCGCTTGAGCCACATCCCCAGCCCTGTGGTGGTCATTTCTAATGCTTAACATAACACAGTGTTTGCAGATACACAAGAGCCTCCTGATTAGACATGATAGTGGTTACTTTACCTTCTTTCCTCAACTGATGAAATTCAGAGAAGACAGATGTGTTTAGTCCTATCAGTGTTGGGGGCAACTCTGTCATTTTTTTTCCACAGGGCAAGTAAATATGTAACGAAACTGTTCAGAATGCTTTTCTCTGCTTCTTCATGAACATAGCTCTGCTTATTTGGCTAGGTGGCTGCTGGCACCCTGGATGCCAGCACCAAGATCTATGCTGTGCGGGTGGATGCTGTCCATGCTGATGTGTACAGAGTCCTTGGGGGACTGGGCAAAGATGCACCTTCTCCGGAAGAAGTGGAGGGCCATGGTGCAGGTGTGTGGGTTGGGATCTAGACTTAAGGTGCTTCTTTTAGGGTATACCAGTCACATTGGAATGAAGTTGCAAGAAATTGGTTACTTCATTTTATTGAAGACATGGACATTTCCAGAAGAATATATATGGACTTTCATGAGAAGATCACAAAAAAGCGTAGATAGTACACCACCAGGGATAATTAACTTATTCGCTGGGAACTCTTCTTATTGCTGGTGTTTTTGGAATCATTTTGCTTTTTCTTTTTTGGGGAGGCAGGTACCAGGGATTGAACTGGGGGGCACTTGACACTGAGTCACATCTCCAGCCTTATTTTATATTTTACTTAGAGACAGAGTCTCACTGAGTTACTAAGCGCCTTACCATTGCTGAGGCTGGCTTTGAATTCTCAATCCTCCTGCCTCAGCCTCTCTAGCTGCTGGGATTACAGGTGTGCACCACCACACCCAGATCATTTCACTCTTTCTTATGGGCTTTTGGTGCTTCCCTTCCACTTGGCTGCTTTGGGCTGCAGTGGAGTTATTTTTCTTTGTCAAGGAGAAGGACCTTCTAAAAGCTTTTAGGTTTTCCTTAGGAAAGGTTAAGTAAATATCACCAGCTAGGAGCTTCTCATTGGGCGTCTTTGGAAGTCAACTTGTATTAGATGCCAGATACTTAAATCTGGTAATTCAGTTTTGCCATCAGCTATGGATTTAGAGAAGTTGTTGCTTTGAGAGAATTTTATGTTTAAATATGAGCAATTGTTATGGTTTTGAAGAACCTGACTTCATTAGTTTGGCCACATGCTACAAAGCAGTTCTTGCGGTACAGTCTTCTTCCTTCTTTCAGATGGAAGTGCTACTGAAATAGGAACAACCAAAAAAGCTTCAAAGCCAAAGAAGAAGCATTCGTACAAGACCATTGAGCAGAACATAGACAACCTTAATGTCTCCGAAGCAGATCGAAAGTGTGAGGTAAGGAAGTGTCTGAGTGTGGTCTCTGACTCATTCAGTACCTCCGGCTGAGACTAGGTAGGGCCCAGCCTCCCTTGCTGGTCTATGCTGGCTTAAGCCTCCAGGGAGTAAAATATTTAGCTGGCATCTCTGCATTATTGTCCCTTAGCTTTATAATGCATACTGAAGGTGGCAAGCTTCAGTAGTTCAGAATTATTGAGTAGAAAGAGGACTCTAATAAAAAACTGAATTTTACTTCTAAGTATGTGCAGTGGCATTGACGATAGCTAACATTTACTGTACACATCCTGGGTGCCGTATTCCTCCCTAGGCCTGTCCTCACAACATCCACGTTCACTCTTAAAGAGGTGACTGAGGCACAGGGCTCTTCGGTAATGGGACTGAGAGGATACCTGTGGTGAGAGAGCTAGGCTTTGAAGCCAAGGTCTCTAAATGGCCTTGCTGTTTAGCAAATCCTAAATAGTATGCTTAAAGAAATAGTTTTGGATGACATATTTGTGGTTAGAACCATTAATTTAAACAAATGGTGTTGCTCCAAAGAAATTGTTGTTGGAATGCTGCTGTTACCAGCATTGTTCCAGGCCTGGGAGCATAGCCGAGCATGTGTGGCTCCCTGAGTTTGATCCCCAGCAAAACAAACAAAAACCTTTTTGTTTCAGCAACCATTTTTATTTTTGTTATCTTTGAACCTTTCTGGGAGTGTGTCTATAAGAAAATTCTGAAACATCCAATTTCAGTTGTCCTCAAGTTTACTTTCCCACCAGCAGTGGCCTGGGCTGCTTCTTTCTCTACCTTCACAGCGCTCATAAATGGTAGTTAATGTTATAAGACAGGGGAAAGGGCTGAGCTCTGGGCTACCCTGCTCTCAGGACTTCTGAGAGCTGAAGAAATACCCAGTAGGAGGACAATGGAAAGTGTGGTCTCCAAATGAGAAAGTGTTGCCCTTTGGGGAACGGCTCTGACCCAGCGGCAGCCTGAGCCCACTGGTGCGCTTGGAGGGGGGTCCTCCTGGAAGGGTGCTGTGGGGCCAGTCTCTGGGTTTGGAGGAGGGGCTGAGGCCCAGGACCCAGACCTCTGAGGAGGGCATTGCTGGCCCATGCTAGGAGCTCTGAGGGTACACAGTAGGCCCGCTCTCTTGAGTCTGAGAGACGCCAGATTGGACTCAGCTGCTGCTGTGCGGAATAGCACTGCTGGCACATCAGGTGAACAGGGCTGTTCACGCCCCGCAGGCTTCCTCTAGCGCCCCCTGTTGGCTGAGCCTGACAGCTGCTGGCCAAGCCAAAATGTTCCAGCCCTGCATGAAAGAGAACAGGAAGGTCAGAGCTGAGAGGCTGTAATCGCTTAGTAACTGTCCACAGGCCAGTGTCTTGTGAGCATTTGTGAAATGTTATCCATTGGGGAATTGAGGTGGAAGTGACACAGATTCGTGTTACTATTCTTTTAGTATTCTTTCAGGAAAACAAATGGGGGAGGCGAAGGAAGATACTGAGTACAGGTGGTGGTTTTGAAGAGTCTTGCTGCAAACGGGAGCAGAATAAGGGGTGGCAAATTGAAGGAAAAGTAGAGTTAAGAGGTTTGTTTTTAAATGGTTGAGTTAGGTGGGTGCAGTGGCTCAGGAGGCTGAGGCAGAGGACAGCAAGTTCAAAGCTAGCCTCCGCAACTTAGTGAGGCCCTAAGCAGTTTAGCAAGATCCTCTCTCTCTAAATAAAAAATAAAAGAGGACTGGGGATGTGGCCCAGTGACTAAAGAACCCCTGGGTTCAATCTCCAAGAACAAAAAAAGAAGAAGAAGAAGAAGAAGAAGAAGAAGAAATATTTCTGTTCAGAGCAGCAGTAGAACCTTGTGACCAGCTCTGTCACAGGCTTTTTGAACTAACAGAATTTGTTGGGATACTATTCTTTCACACTGGGCATTTTAGAAGTAGCTGTTGGGAGCGGCAGTGACTGGTAGTTACCTGTCCAGGTGTCCTGTGTATGAACAGGTGGACACATGTGCCTGTCACCACATGTGATCACCTGGAGCAGATTACATTTAGCCCTCTGACTACACAGAGCCCTTTCTGGGCAACTGGGACTTTAGCTGATCAGTTAGGGAGCCACTGTACACTTTGATCCCTGTGCACCCTCCTGCAGATGAGCAGGTCCCATGCTGAGTCCTGCTGCTTCTGGCTGCACAGCTGATGCTTGAGTGTCCGTGTTCTCCCGTTCAGGTCGATCCCATGTTTCAGAAGACCGCAGCCTCATTCGACGAGTGCAGCACTGCAGGGGTGTTCCTCTCCTCCCTCCACTGCTGCGACTACAGGAGCGAGCTACTCTTTCCTTCTGACATCCAGAGCCTCTCCACCGCAGAGCCTCTCGAGTTGCCAGATTTAGGCTGGGTAGAAATGACAGACCTCAAAGGTAAGTCTGAGTTGTGCTTTTCCCTAGGGCCTTCAGCCTTCTCAGGAGCTTCTCCACAGCGGTGCTGAGAGCGCCCATGGCACTCTGATGTCACTTCCTTATGTTACCGTAAAGTGCCTCTGCAATGCCAAAATGGGTGTCCTTTAGGCGGTGCCTGGCGACCCACTCACTGTTCCCCTCCCAGCATGGAGTCTAACAGTAGCCGTTGCCACTCTGCCCTGTGTGCCCGCACCTCAGGGGCCCACTGTTTGCAGCAAGCTCCCACGGTCACGGGCTCACCCTGGAGTGTGACAGAACGTGAGAAGTGGGCTTAACGGGCACTCTGTCTAGCCAGAGAGGCCCCGTTCTTGTTTATTACCAGTCCAGGGGGTCCCAAGGAGAAGAGGGCATTGGAAATCGTTTCCAGATCCTGTGGCAGTCTAAGAACTGACCTGCCCTGTTACACTGACTTGGCAAGTTTTAACGCCCTTCCCGCTCCCCCCATCCAGGGGTCTCCTGCAGACGTAGTAGGGGAGCCGGCTGTGTGCAGGGCAGGCCTATGCTGGTTTCTATGGGTTGAATGTGGTCGGTCCTCCCTGTTTGGGAAGGGCTTTGCGGCTGGCTCCCCTGTGCTTGTTCTTTCTGTTCTTTGCCTACATTTGGACTAACAATCTCTTTTCCTCCTTTATACTCTCAGCTGGGGCTGTGGTGCTCTGGGGTAGGTCATCTGTAACTAGATTAGCTTGGGACTTGGGACTAAAAATAAGCACCATTACATGATTGTTCATGTACTTGGTGTGTTTTAAGGGGAAGGGTGGGACTGGGGTTGTGCTCAAAGGTAGCGTGCTTGCCTACCATGTGTGAGGCCCCGGGTTTGATCCTCAGCACCACATAAAAATAAAATTAAGATGTCCACCTATAATTAAAAAATCAGTATTTAAAAAAAAAAAAAAAGAAAAGAAAAGAGGAAGGGTGTTCGGTTTCCCAATGAGCTCATTTCATAACCAGACATCTGTGCTTTGGGTTTCTCTTCAGCGTTTGACTAACTCCTGGAAGGCAGCGTAGCCTGACCCTGGTCTGGGCATGCACCTGTGCCCCTGCTTGCTCCATGGAGCGTGCACCCCCAGAGGCCAGCAGCCAGCCAGCACTGGCACTCCAGCTCCTGCTGGGCAGCAGTGAGGCGACCGCCTCATCCTGCTGTGCCACTCAGTGTCATTCCAAAGGGACTGAAGAATGTGCTTGACCCCCTCTAATCCTGATCTCGGTGTCCTCCCCAGCGCCTCTGCAGCAGTGTGTGGAAAATGGCCAGCTCTGCCCTTCCCTGGCTGGGTTCCAGTTCACAAAGTGGGACAGCGAGACACATAATGAGGTATGGTCAGCTGTGGGACTTCGAAGGCTCTGGGCGTGTCTCCAGCACTTGTGGTTTCAGTTAGATGGCCCAAGATTAGTTCTGCCCCGTGGGAACCAAAACTGTGGCATCATTTTTATTTAGCCAGGAGTACAGAAAATATTTCCTTTGGCACTTCTCTAGGGAAAAAAATTGGGGCGGGTCAGGGTGGGGCTGAGAACCCCATGGGACCCTGCTGCAGCTGGGTGAATTCTGGAATCCGCTGCACGTTCCCTTGCTGCTCCCTGGAGTGGCCGCCCTGCCATTCATGAATGAGCACTCTTTACTAGATGTGCTCTTGAACGTGGTTGTTCTGTGGCCTCTGGGCTCTCAGGCAGCCGTCAACTCGAGAGGCATTTCCTGCTCTTTGGGGCTGAGTCCCTTGGCACGCAGTTTCCTGAGAAATGGTCATGTGTACAGCTTCCTCCGTGTATTTTTAGCACGGCTGCCTTTAGCCTACTTACTACAACTTCCAAAGTAAATGAACTCCATGGAAAACTGTTTTTCCAAACATACAGCTGATGGTTGCAGATTCCTGTTTCATGTTTTACAAAATGTGCCCGCAGCAGTACGGCTTCATCCTGCTGCACGGGCTAAACTTCCTCAGTGTTTCTCTCCTGTGAGGACGATGGCCCCAGGAAGTGGGTGGGGGCATGCTGGGGAGAAGGCTGGAAATGAGTTTGGGGGTGGGATGTCTCCTTTTCCAGGGGTGAATTTGGGTGGCCAGAGGAATGAGGGGAGCTTGAGAGCCCTCTTTTGTCCCTGCAGTCTGTGTCAGCCCTGGTAGACAAGTTCAAGAAGAATGACCAGGCATTTGATGTCAATGCTGAGATGGAGGAGAGTGGCTGTGGGGACTTCCTTGATGGGCCCCTGGAGGACAACTTTGATGCCAACGATGAGCCCGAGCACACCTCAGCTGGGGACCACGAGGAGCTCCGGAGCTGGAAGGAGCCCTGCCAAGTCCAGAGCTGCCAGTAAGGCTCTCAGGGTCCCAGACGTTCCCAGGCCACAGCCGCCCCTTCCTCACGGTCTCCTGTGAGGCATCTGACCTCTTCCCTGATTGGCTGAGCTGTCGTGTTCGGCTGCACACATCAGCTGAGCCACAGAGCTGACTCAGGTCACACCTGGCATTGTGTGTTGGCTAAGCCACTTTGGTTACAAAATCGATGTCCAGGAGTTTGTAAGGATTGGAACGGGCATGCAGCGCTGGAGAGTGCCCCCTGGCACTGGGAGCTACTGCCTTGTGTCTGTCATCACCACCTGCATTTTGGGAGCAGATGGGGCACTTCCTTTCTCGTTGCACCTGGGCCAGCTTTTGGCCATGTCACTGTGGATCAGTGACAGGTAGAAGCAGGTATGTGTTGCTTATGGAAAAAGGCACGCAGAGAGGGCTGGGTAGTCACCTTCCAGGTAGACAACTAGCTGGGCAAGGGAAGGACAGAATAAATACAGCAGTGCCCGTGTGGGGAGAGCAGAGGCGAGGAGGATGGTTGTTGGTAATTTGGACTTGTGATTACCTGAGTAAGCATCCTAAGATAAGCCTGTCACGGCAGAGGGCTGTTGGAGGTCCCAGAAGAGCCTGGAGAGACCCCAGGATTAGTGGGAATGGTCCCTCTACGAATTCCTGTGCCTACCACCACAGCTTGCCAGCCTGGGGTTGGGGACAGCCAGGTGGAGTATTTGGATGACACCTCAGGGTCCTTCAGTGTGATTGTCCCGGGGCAGACATCCCACTGGGAGCTCTGCTTGCCTGCCTGAAGGGTGAGATTTTCCTTGAGTTTGGTTTGTCAGTCACAAATAGTTAGATTGATAGTGTCTCTCAGAACCTGAGTAGAAGTCTGGGGGCTCAACATGTGGCACCTTGAGGCAGAACCACCATCTCCGTCTGTTAGCCTGCTCTTCTGACTTGTGGGGTTGACTCAGCTGAGGCCTACGCTGTTCCTACCCTGTCTTCCCCAAAGTGAGAAGTGGTCCACAGGTCAGTGGGATGAGCTCTCAATGTCATTGTCATATGTCAGAGAAAAGCTGTCTCGTTTTCTGAACAGTGAGGTGACATCTGAGGGCCTGAGGGTGATGGGGGCTGCCTGACTCCACTTGGTTTTGGAAGGTGTTTCCTGCTGTATTTGGAACAGCTCTGTTTCTCACATGGTGTCAACAGCACTGAACCTTAGGCTGTCCTGCTGAGTGAATGCGGGCAGGATGCTGTGGCTCTGGTCTGGGTTTTTTCTGTCCTTCAGTCCCCTCCCCTCGGCATGAGGCTGGCCTTTCCCAGGAGCTCATCAGTGTTTGACTGGACTAAATCTGGGCCTGCCATGGAGAGCTGTGTCACGTGGCAGCGTCTTTGCCTTCTGGGGCTTTTTACTTCTTATCCATAAAATGAAGGGCTGGGACTGGGCGATAATAGTCATATTGGGCATGCCAGTGCCTCACGTGCGTTATTCACACCATTTATACGATAAATAAAGTGAAGTCCTTCTCAGTCCTGTCACTAGTCCTGCTGTGCCCATGTTACAGATGAGGACACAGAGTCTGAGGTGACGTAATGGGGTGGAGCTGGTCACCATCCGTGCATTTGTCCCATGCCTGCTGTACACAGTGAACTCCGGGTGGCAGGCTCCATGCAGAGCACCTGACAGGGAATCACTGCATCAGACACCTCTCCAGGTGACTGTTGTGCACTCAGGGTTCTGCAGTGTGCCCGGAGGTCTTCAAGGGCCTCCAGCTCAAGTGGCGGGGGCGGGGCTGGATGGTAAACACCTTGTCAGGTGGGATGCCCGTGGGTGGCGTGGGTGGCAACAGCTGTGCCCGGAGTCAGAAGCAGAGCTTTCTGCACAGCCTCTGCGGAGGACTCGCCTGTGAAAGCACTGGGTGCCTGTGAGCAGCTCGGTGACCCCTCCTTCTGCACAGTGGGGCTGCGTGCTCTCCAGCTGGCCCCTCTGAGGCAGTGTGCTTGTAGAATGTGCCGACAGTGGCCGCAGACCTAGCTGGTGCTGATGCAGAGTGCGTGTACTGTGTGTGGAAGAGTGAGGTGCAGCCAGGCTGGCCCGAGCCTCCTTCCCAGTGGGAGGAGCCCTTCAGCCTGCTGCTGGTAGGACCGACCAGGGCTGCAGGGAAGGAGGCCCAGATGTTGGAGGAGGAGCCAGAAGAGAGTCTTCCTGGAAGGGTTGGAGAAGTTCAGAGGGGCAGGCCTTGAGAAATGGGCAGACCATGGGCTTGGTGGTCAGTTGCTGCAGGATGAGGCTGGGCAGCAGGGTGAAGGAATTGTTGAGTGAGTGAGCTCAGGGAGCCCTCGGGTCTCTGTGCAGCCTTGGTCCAGACTCTGGAAGAGAGCCAAGCTCCCCATAACCTTTGCCTGTAAATGTCCAACACCAAAACTAGCAGCAGAATGTCCAGGAGATGCTCCTGAAGCACTTTCTGCCTAGAGTTGATCACACAGCACATTCGTTACTTAATGGCATAAGCGAGGCAGCAGGTTTGTGCAGCACAAACTTATAACTAGACACACTAGACATGTAATTTTTTTAATTTAATTTTTTTTGGGGGGTACTAGGGCCTGAACCCAGGGCACTTTACCATTGAGCCATATCTCATAACCCTGCCCCCCCTTTTAATATTTATTTTTTAGTTGTAGTTGGATACAATACCTTTATTTCACTTATTTATTTTTACGTGGTGGTAAGGATCAAACCCAGGGTCTCGCATATGTGAGGCGAGTGCTCTACTGCTGAGCCACAACCCCAGCCCTCCCTGGCCCTTTTAAATTATTGATTTTTGAGATAGGGGCTCACTAAGTTGCTTAGGGTCTTGCTAAATTGCTGAGGCTAGCCTTGAACTTGCAATCCTCCTGCCTCAGCCTCCCATGTCTCAGGGATTATGGGTATGGTCACTGCACCCAGCAAGTTTATTTTAATTTTTTAAATTAAGTTTTAAATACATGATAAATATGTGAATACAGTTTCCTATATTTTTTATTTTTTATTATTTATTTATTTATTTTTTTACAGGTTTCATATTTTTAATCAGTTCTGTGAAGAATATCCTAAACACTATAATAGAGACACAACAGAATATTTTTTCTTCCAGCATTAAAAAAAATTCACAAACATTTTAAAGAGGCTTGTCTGTATAATCAGGGTGGTGATTGTTTATAGGTACATTTAGAAATTGCTTTCTAGTCATGATAAACATTGTGTACGAGTTTTTAAAATGCCCCAACTTTAGCTTTAAAAAATTGGTCTGGCTAAACTTTTCCTTTTGCCAGAAGCAATGATCCTGAGAGCCCAAACTAAAAACTTGGTAAAAAGAGAAATACCTGGGGGACTAACAAATGTGCTGTAATTTGTCTTTAAATGAGAAAAAAATTTTACATGGAGCTTTTTAAAAGGTCTTTTAACAAGCTACCTTGGGAACTAAATTGAAAAATAGAAGTCGATGTATTAAAACAGATGTTTCAGTGCAGCTCCAAAAATCTTTATAAATACAGCGATTTGGAAGGACGATCCTGGATCAGAAGTGTTATTCCTTGTGTATCTACTTAACGTGTGCATGCCTCGACTCAGTTGTCATAGTTGTCTCGATAATTTCCTCCTGAGTAGTGGTCATAGCCACGCTGGCTTCTGCCACTATAGTCTCGGGACCGTCCGTATCCATATCCATAACCTCCAGGTCGACTGTCATACCGGCCACTCCCATAGCCCTGGTCCCTGCCACCTCTAGAGTAGCTGCGACCACGCCCATGGGCCCCAAAGGCACCCCCCCTGGTGCCCCGGGCAGACTTGCCTGCATGGTCCACCCGGATCTGCCGACCCTCCAGGGACTCTCCATTCATGGCTTTCATGGCATCTGAGGCAAGTTCTGGATTGGTGAAGGTGATGAAGCCAAAACCCCAGGATCACTGAGTCTCCCGGTCCTTGACAACAACCACCTCAGAAATAGGCCCAAAGCTGCTGAAGTGGTCTTCCAGCGCCTGCTCATCAGTAGTGAAGTTGAGTCCTCCCACGAACAGCTTCCCTTCTTCAGAAGACATGGCAGTGAATTTGAGTCCTGCAGGGTGGAAAAAACAGTGAAGGTGGTAGAAGTAAAAGACGTTGGAGAAGTGAGAAAAAAGAGTGAAAGGCAGAACAGAACATAGACAAGAGGATGGCAAAAAAGCTCCTATATTTTTTAAAGATTGTGAATATAAGGCTAATGTCCACTTAAAGCTTTTATTCATGTACTCTTCAGGGCTTATTTTAAAAGAGAATGGTTCGACACTAGTGTAAAGCCAGATCTGAAGCCTCCTGGCTGCCTTTACTGTTAGAAGGCAGTGCGGCAGCACTGAATGCTTCCCAGCCCTACGGAGCCCTGAGAAAGCTCTCTCACATATTTAGTCCTCTTCCAAAGGTGAAAAACCAAACCAACCCCCACTGCCATGTTGGCAGGACACGTAGACCCACCCCATACAGCCAAGAGTAAAGCTGTGTGAACTAACAGGTTATGAAGGGGGTCGCCAAAGCTTTTGCGGAGCTAAAAGTAAATTGGAATAATATTTATTTCACTGTGAGTAGGAGCACAGCAGTGTCTCCTGAACGCTGATTAATGGTGAAGAATTAACAAACACTGGTCATCTTGCACGGCAGGAAGCCTTGTGTGTGCAAAGAACCCAAGGCAGGTTCTGCTGGCACGTCGGCTCCCTGCTCTGGCATTATGCCAGCTGCATTGTCCGTGTATAGAAACTTGATTTCTCTGTACTTCTGTGTGATGGTCTCTCAAAGGAGTAGGTTAGCATTTATGAAACTCTTATATAGATACAAATATTAAAAATATGTATATATTATCAAAGTAAGAGAAGCAGAAGTACTTGAAATAAAACTAAGGGATTGTTAATGATGAAGTGTTTATATTGGACTTAGCCCTAGAAATGCTCATTTGCAGAAAAGTGTGTCTCCAAGGACCTGCTTTGTATGTAAATACAGCATTGTACTGCATGTACTATTGTTGTGCAAATAGGATTTCATGTGCATTACAGGGAAGAAATGATTTCCCTTGGGGACGGAGACATCCAGACCATGTGCCCTCTTCTCTCCATGAAACCTGGAGAATATTCCTATTTTAGTCCCCGGACCATGAAGATGTGGGCTGGCCCAGATCACTGGCGCTTTAGACCTCGACACAAACGTGCGTACAACTAGGTGGAACTTTAAGACAAGATGCAGAGTAGATGGCAGCCGCTCAGCACTAGCCAAGGAAAGGAAATGTCAAGCACTGTCTTCATTGCCTCCCAACGAGCTGTAGAAACGCACAGAGGAGCCAGCCTCCTGGTTGCAGGCAGCTGGCCTGGCCTGGGATGAAGGGTTCACAGAAAGGGCTGGAGGGAGAGGAGGTGGCTTGTGGCCAGTTCCTGCACGAGGAACTGGGACTCGATGGGGAGAGCGATAACCGTGTCAGGAGAGCTGGGCTCGGGATGTCGCTCTGCCTGCTAGTGTTGGCATGACTGCACACAGCAGAATAACCACCAGGCCCTGTGCAGCCTTCGAAGCACCTGCCAGCCTTCTGTGTTTGGCCTTGTAGATTGGAAGGAACTTAGCATACATTTTGGATGTGTTAACCAAAACACAAATTCTAAGTTTAGGATAGAAATGAGCTGTGTGAAGGAGTATTCTGACTGCAGTTGCGATGTCATTTGCAGATGCCATAAGACTATCCATAGAGTTTGTAAGATGAAATGATTTGGCCACAGGTGACATTGACATCTATGTTTTCTATAGAAGATGCTGTTTCCCAATCAGAGAACAAGAAGAAGAATTCAAAGAAAGATTTTGAAGTGGACTTTGATGATGATATTGATTTTGATGTATACTTTCGAAAAACAAAGGTTTGTGCTGGATTTGCTGGCATTGTGTTTTCTTAAATTATTATTTGCACTCCTCTTTCTGTTTTTGATGTGATTTTGAAAACTTATTATAAATTTAACTGTTAAATAGTTTCATTCTTCTTTGTTCCTTGAAGGGACTGTTGAGAAATAGACCCAAACTCAATGGCAGAAAGAATTGAGTTTAGAGTAAAGAGAATAATCTATCAAAAACCACTCTTTATACAGAACCAGGGGCTCTCTGATGGTAGATTAATACTGCCCAGCCCTTCCTAAGCTCCTTTCAAGAAAACCAAAAAGAAACTGGTGTGGTAGTGCACGCCTATAATCCCAGCAATTCCAGAGGCTGAGACAGGAGGATGGCAAGTTCCAGGCCAGCCTCAGCAACTTAGTAAGACCTTGTTTCAAAATGAAAAAAGGGCTGGGGATGTAGTTCAAGGGTAAAAGCATCCCTGGATTCAATCCCCAGTGCCAAAAACCCAAATAAAACAATCACAAAGATATTTGACCGTTATTAAAAATGCCTAAAAACAAGATTTATATATTTTTTAAATTAATAGGCTGCAACTGTTCTGACCAAGTCCACTTTGGAGAACCAGAACTGGAGAGCCACCACTCTTCCTACAGATTTCCACTACGAGATCAACACGCTGGTCCAGCTGCACCTCAAACCAGGTTTAAGGGTAAGACCACCGTCGGCAGCCTGCAGCCATGGTCAGCATCAAGCCTCCTGAGGGCCCTCAGTGGCCAGTGATGGGTGGGGCAGTTGGCAGTGCCTCAGAGACAGGTGGGTGAGGGGCCTGTGGGGGAGATCCACACCAAAGTCTGGAGATGCCTGCTTAGCTCGAGCGCAAAACAGCGCGTGGGGTGAGCAATAGGGAGTCATGGCGGGGTTCAGAAATTCTTGTTTCTCGATGCTCTTGTGCTCTTGTTGGAGTTTGGATCCACCCTGCAGGTACTCTGTGCAGTCCACATTGCCTTGCTCATGGTCCAGGTGTAGCAGCACAGGCATGATGCCACCTGGGGCCACATCCCTAGGAAGTTCCCTAGGGCTACACATTCTGCCCTGACTGTTCCCAGCACCTCTGGACCACCTGGGTTGTGCTTGGCTTTCTCTCCACATTATTTACCTATGACTTTTCTCACGGTGTTAGTGACAAATGCATGCCCTTGTGGTCAGGGGAACCCAGCAGTGGCCATGCGAAGCTTCATTTCATTTGCCCCTCTGCCCACCTGCATTCCTGATTGTCCTTCTCTAGTGATGTCAGTAGTAGGAGCAGTTTGTAGTTTTCTCTCTTTCTTTTGCCTGTTTCTCTACAACCTCAGTGTTATGTATACATGTACGTGTATTTCCCTGAATCCACTGATGTCTCACATTCTGCTTTTACAGACCAGCCATGATGTATTTTTCTTTCTGGTCACTATTGACCACTCAGCAGAAATGTTCTTACACACAGAAAGGAGCAAAGTGGTGACAGTGAGGAGGCTGGGGGCGGGGGTCAGCACTCCTCAGGTCCCAGAAGCAACTGGGGTTGAGGTTCAGCAAGGCCCTGTGGACGAGAGGGGTTTGAGGACGAGCCAAGGCGGGTGCAGTACAGGTTCACCACTGGACAGGACCCTCATGAAGGAACTGGCCATAAGCCACCTCCTCTCCCTCCAGACCTTTTTGTGAAACCTTTTGATAATGGACTATGCAAGAATTGCTTAATGAGAAACATCTAGCTCTTTCCCTGACTGTATCCACTTCCCTGACTGACTCTACTCAGTGGGAAGAGTGGAGAAGAGTGAAGAAGGAAGTCACCATGCTTGAGGACTGTTTGCTGTTTTGTTTTTCTCCATAATTGTTCCTTATAGAGGAAAGAGCCTGTGTTCCTGCCCATCCTCAGGAATCCATTCCCTGGTGCACAGAGCAACAGGCGATGGAGATCTTCCCCTTCCCAGCAGAGCCCCCCAGGAAAAGGACTCTTAGGCGCTGGAAGCTTGGCAGGGACAGGCCAGCTGTGCCCAAAGAGGGGGGTTCTAAGTGGAGAAGGAGTTGTGTCATGTGAGGGACAGTGCAAGAAAGTGGATGTTTCTTAAGTTAGTAAATATTTTGTCATTTAATATAATTTTTGGATTGTATAACAAAAACGCTTGAGTTTTTGTGGATGTTTTCAAAACATAGAATTATACTAAAATATTCAGTATGTTTTTGTAAACTGAACACACCTCCCCTAGCATTTTTCTCACCTGAGAGACGTATATCCCAGCTGAAAACCACTGGAGTAAAGACCAGTGGTTGGGAAGGCTGTGGCTCCGTTCTGTGAAGCTCCAGAAGGCTGAGCAAGATCCTGTGGATGCAGTCAGGGAAAGAGCTAGATGCTCTCACTGTTGCTGTCTAGGGAGCAGGGTTGCCCTCCAGGGGTGGGTCAGGCTGCCTGTGAATTGTGATCATATGTTTTCTCTCAGAATTATTCTTTTTTTTTTTTTAAATTTGTTCTACTTAGTTGTATATGACACAGAATACATTTCACTTCGTCGTACATAAATGGAGTGCGGCATTTTGCACGGTATAGACGCACCATTCGTGCAGCCATACCAGGATTATTCCTTCAGAAATCTGCAGGCAGGGTTTCCAACTTTTGTTTTTAGTGCAGAACCTTTTTTTTTTTTTTTTAATTGTGCAGAAGACATAATTGCAGACCAGAAATGGAGCTCCTCCGATTGGATTGGAGGCTCTGAGCCCTGTGCCCCAGGCTGGCTGTGGCAGTTGAGAGTTGCTGGACTAGGGGACCTGTCAGGGCCCTTCTAGCTCTAGAACCAGGGAATTATAGGAGATGGATCATGGGATGTAAACTTTATTTCCTCCAACCTGGTGCATTAGCTTCCTTTCTAGGACTTGATTTTGAATTTGTTCTTTTTTTAATTTTAGTTATTAAAGATGGCCCCAGGCCAGAAGGCAGAGACTGAGCATTATGAAGAAATTGAAGACTATGATTACAACAACCCTAATGACACCTCCAACTTTTGTCCTGGACTACAGGTAAAGTGGGGACAGCTCTGTCCTTGCTTCTAAGTGGAGGGTGCTTTCTTCCCATCTCACCACCCCCCACTGTTGTTTGATTTTTGTTTTTGGCGTTGCTGGGGATGAGACCCAGGGGCTCGTCCATGCTAGGTGGTCCCTCTGCTCCTGAGCTACCCCCCCCCGCCCCCTCCCTATGTTATGTTGGTGAGGGTTACAGATCATGCCTTCAGCGTTCCAGGGTGCTTTCTGTAAAATGAGGTCCTATGTTGGCTGGATGCTACAGGGGCACCGCGGCCATGTGATATTGAACTCCTGCTCTGGGGGTCTTAGGCTGATAAGAGACATGTCCCTAGCAGGGTTTGTGTGAAACAAGAAGGAGCTAGACGTCTGTCTGACGTGACCTGCTTCACCACTTCTTGGCTAGTTCTTGCCTCCCTCATGAAGAATCTGTTTCAGGGCTATTTCTATGCCCCAGACATTTCCCCTAAACTTGAAGAGCTTTATCCTTGTCCAGGCTGCTGACAGTGATTATGAAGAGTCAGATGACTTATGTTCAGGAGACGTTGGGACCTTTGACCACACATCCAATCCCTGCCACACACCTAAGATATCACAAGAAAACGAAGACGCTTCTGAAGGCCATGAAGCAGATATCACAACGTATGGGGAGTCCAACCTGGTGGCTGAGCCTCAGAAGGTGAGGCGAAGCAGTTGAGAAGTGCATTGTGTGTCTGAAATCTACTTAATTTGCTGCTGCTGCTTTTTTTTTTTTTTTTTTTTTTAAGTTGTACATGGACATAATACCTTTATTTTATTTGTATTTTTTTGGTGGTGCTGGGGATTGAACCCAGGGCCTTGTGCATGCAAGGCAAACACTCTACCAACTGAGCTATATCCCCACCATCTTTTATATATATAATTTTTAGTTGTAGATGAACACAGTACTTTTATTTTTATTTATTTATTTTTTAATGGTGCTGAGGGTCGAACCCAGTGCTCTACCACTGAGCAACACCCCCATCTCCTAATTTGTTTCTTTATATGAATCATATCAGCCTGGGCCTGATTTTTTTTTCTCCCATTTTCATTTACAATCTGTGGCTCTCTGAATGACAGAGTCTTTAGAGTCCTAAGGAGTAAGCTGGTGCCAAATAGGTTTCTCCAGCGTTCTTTTCTCTAAAGTCCTTTTCTTTAATTGATTTCTAATATTTATTTACTTTTACTTTGTTGTTGTTTGTGTCTGTGGTGCTGGGGTGGGACCCAGGGCCAATGCTCTGCCATTGAGCCATGCCCCAGTTCCTCAAGTCTAGTAAGCTGATCACCCAGTGGAGCATGTGAGTGAAGGCTACAGACTGCACATACAGGGGGATAGCTGTGTGGACCCTAAAGTCTTGTCACCTCTTGTCACATTAAATTAAATCACCCCATGCTGTGCTCTTATGCTGGCTTGTGCATCTGTTAATTCCTGACCCACGTGTCTCTGTACTTGAATTACAGGTTAGTGGTAATGTAGATTAGTCTTTTTTAATTTTTTTAATGCTTTGAGATTGACTGTTTTTATTTGCGGGGGGTGGGGGGGATGGGTATCTGGGATTGAACTCGGGGGCACTGGGCCACATCCTCAGCCCTACTTTGTATTTTATTTAGAGATAGGTTCTCACTGAGTTGCTTAGCACCTTGCCTTGCTGAGGCTGGCTTTGAACTTGTGATCCTCCTGCCTCAGCTTCCTGAGCCGCTGGGATTATAGGCGTTCCCCACTGCACCCGGCTCTTTTCTTTCTTTTTCTATCAGAGCCTTATAGTTACACATAGTGTTGGGTTCATCCCTACAAACTTATATGTGCATGATGATGGATTTTAACTCGTGATCCTTCCCCCAATGTAGATTAGCCTTTTGTTTATTTGTTTTTCTTTTATTGGGGTAAAATTGAAGAACAATAAATGCACATATTTGAAGTATGCAGTTTGATCAGTTTTGACATGTATATAACCAATACAGTCAATATAAAAAGCATTTCCATTATTTTTTTTTTAATTTGAAATCGTGGATTGTTTCTTGCATGATTTATTACATTAAAAATCAATCACTTTAGGATCTATAATACCCCACCCCCACATGTCAACTATTTCAAAATTAAATGGCACACTTATATATATATATATATAAGAGGTCAAGAAAGAAAACGTAAGAAAAGTCAATAAAAAGTGCTTTGAAGTAAGTGATAATTAAGGCTTAAAATATAAGTATTTCTGGGATGAAACGGTACTCAGATGAACATTTGTAATTTAAAGTACTTGTATAAAAAGCTAGAATAACAGTCAAATTATTTTCAAATTATATAATAGAAAGGAAAAAATAAGAATAGGAACTGGGGCTGAAGCTCAGTGGCAGAGTGCTTGCCCAGCACATGTGAGGCACTGGGTTCCATCCTCAGCACCACATAGAAATAAATGAGTAAAACTAAGTATTTAAAAAGAAAAAGAATAGGAACAGAAATATATGGAATAGAGAAGAAATAAAACAGCTAAAATTTGATAAAAATCAAACAAGTCTAATTAAGAAAAAAGCAAAAACATAAAAATTTATATCAACGGAAAGGGAGCTTTCAAAATAACCTATAGATGCTAAAAATATGTTAAGGTAATATTACTATTGCATGCCAGCATATGTGATAGCTTAGGTAACATGGTCTGTGTTAGAGAGGGATCCGTGTGCTGCTGAGAAGAAAGTGTATTTAGTCATTGATGGATGAAATAGTCCACATGTGTCTGTTAAGTCTAAATTATCAATCATATTTTTTACTTATATAACTTCTTTATTTAGTTTTTGTTTGGAGGATCTATCCAGTGGTGACAGGGGCATGTTAAAGTCACCCAGTATTATTGTGTTGTGGTCCATTTGATTCTTGAGATTGAGAAGGGTTTGTGTTTATGTATGTAGATGCTCCATTGTTTGGGGCATAAATATTTACAATTGTTATGTCTTGTTGATGTATAATTCCCGTAAGCAGTATGAAATGTCCTTCTTTGTCCCCTCTGATTAAATTTGGCTTGAAGTCCACTTATCTGATGTGAGGATAGAGACCCTGCCTGTTTACGAAGTTCATGTGAGTGATAGGGTTTTTCCCTTCTTTCACCTTTAGTTTTTGCCTATGAGGTGAGTCTCTTGGAGACAGCATATTGTTGGGTCTTTTTTTTTTTTTTTTCCTAAACCTAACTCTAACAAGGTTATACTCTTTAAATATTTTTTAGTTGTAAATGGACACAATACATAGTTAGTTAGTTTTTTTTTTTT